TGCAGGGTGAGTTTGCCATGGAGGATGAGTTTGCTGTGGCAGTTTTTGCCCTGCAGGGCAGTTTTTCCATTCTGATGGTAGCTGCCTTCTGCCTTTGGCTCACCTGGAAAACACACAGCATGCTGCAGTACAGGGATTTCTGCAGAGTGCAAATATGGTTTAAATAGTTCCTTGGGACACGAATAAAGAGAGTGAGAGATGTTTTAAGTATGAGCAGAGTCTGGGGATCTCTTGATGGACCATTTTGGCTCTTGCACCTCACTGTAAGCTGAACTGCAGACAGTGGATAGGTTTGATATGCAATCCCACAGGAAACTACTGTATCTGCCCAGATCCTTGGCCTGGGAAGGGGATTCTTGCTGGAGCTGTGAGTGGCAGTGCATATCCTCTGATGATTCCATCACACTGTGTTTATCATTTTTCTCCTTAGCCTGTCTGACAAGGGAAGAAGTATAAAACATCACAGTTCCTTTTGAGGGCTGCATGTAAACGTTGGATGGCTCARGGGATGTATTTACCTTCAAAGGTGTTGGCTCAAATCCAGCCTTATCCAGACTGCTGAAAACTACAGCTACATGTCAGTCTCTGAATTATCCACTTTTCAAAGCCCTACTTTGCAGCTGCTTGCCCACAATATAAACCTGGTACCTTTATAGAGGGTGTTGGCAGTGCTCAGGGAGCACAGGAGCTGAAGAAGCACAAAAATGAGCTCCTCAGTTGTGAAAGTTCTGGTGCTGAGAATGGCATTTTACTGAASCTGCACTGCAGCTGCCTGGCTTTAACCTGTTATCTGAGAGTGGATTGAGTGTCCACATTGTCTTTTTGGCAGCTGCTTCTGGCAGTAAAAGTTCTCACAACAGAGAATTGGAAGCAGTGCACTGCCATTCCTCACTGGGATGCTGCTTCTGCCTTTAATTCTGCAATCCCCATGAGCTGGAAGGGGCATCTCAGAAAGCCCAGTCAAGCTTGAATGAGCAAGAATGTTTRAAAATTGTGTTTCTCTTGTTAGCAAGTGCCATTTCTTCTGGGTCTTTTCAGTGCTTACAAGAGCTGAAACAGAGATGCTGTGAGCACTGGAACCRTTTATTTCTTATGGTTATCACTCTCATGCATGATGACACTTTGGATCAGCCAAGAGACACACAACTGAAGCCACTGACACATGATACTGAGCATTTTCAGTAGGCACYGAGACTTGTGCTGTTAGTTTGTTGACTTGGTTTGGTTTTAATTCTTGTGGTTTAAACCTTTTTTTCTTTGCACATACCAGAACATCCTCCTCCTCTCCTCGGTTTAAGTCCAAGGAAGCTTTTTTGAATGGGTCTTTTTTTTCTTAGCCAAAAAATCAACCCAGTGGTTTATAAAACTCAGATCCCTTCTTGCAACCAGTCTCCACACATATTTTATTATTTGTTTTTCACCAAGTAGTTAGTTCAAGTTTTCTTTCGTTGGCTCTTCAACTAGGAATGTTCTATTTCTTGGTTTTCTGCAGTTCCTTAGCAATGTTTTTGGATCTCATCTTCAATTCCTCTGGCTTTCTGTTTCAAGTATTTATTTCTTTTAGCATGAATGACTGTGTAATAGAGCTCTCCAGCATCCTGGTGACTCCTCCTTGGAGGAGGGCAGTTTTGAGTTGTGGAATATGTACCAGAACCATATGGCTTCATAGTTTTGCCTTGTGACAGGTGAGCTGGTGCAACACAAATATTACTGCATCACAAGGAAGTTCTTCACTCTTAAAATATTGGTAGAATAAAGTGCTTGAAGCTCATGTAGTGTAAAGACAGGTTAATATAATTATTTTGCTGAATTGCCGTGGTCGTGCGCTTGCCGCTCAGTGTTTCCTTGTTTAAAGGCAAGCCAAAGAAAGAATAAGACAGCAAATTAATTCAATGCAGAGATRAGGCTGTTTTACTTTATCCCCATTACAAAAATTAACTTTGCCTYTGCCATAGGTTATCAGCTGAACTCAGCTGAGTGCGTGGACATTCGCCTGAAGCGCGTTGTTCCTGACCAYTACTGTCACTACCACCCCGAGAACAAGAAACCCAAACCAAAGCTGAAAGAATGCAACATGGATCCCTGCCCTTCCAGGTCAGTATGGCAAATAAAGGTGTGTGACACGGGCAGCTACTGTGGAACAAGCAATTGTATTTACTTGATTTCAGTTTTTTATACCTTTAGTGCTTCTTTCTCTTGTTGGTTATTGCCATGTGTAAGGCTCAGACCTCTCAAGTGTGACATTTCAGTGCCACAAAACTGGAGATTTTGCTTATGCAGAGATGTTGTAAATACCAGTTTGTTCAGCGGCTAATTCTTCTTTGTCTGGTGCTGGGTAGGACAGCAGTAGGATGAGGATTTTGTGAGGAAGACAGACTCTTTGCCTGTTTAGGATTTACTGATGCTGCCATTGAGAACAGCCAGACAGGAGCTCCAGGCAGTRCAAGTTTTGCACATGGTTTAACTTGGTTTATTCATTTTCCTGCCATAAAAGTTTGATTATTCACTGTGCTGTAGCATTGACAATTTAATCAKTAAAGCTATTTGTTTGGGTTCTTTAAATCTAGGAATTTAAAAAAAAAAATCATTCAAAGTAAATATGCTTGTGGTACAAATGCCACAGGATATTAGTGCCAAATTGCAAAGGCTGTAGTACACATAAACTGTATTGAATTGCACTACAGTATTTCAAACTAACTTTTGGATTGTCTGGTGAGGTTTCCTGGCTGTGCTAAAGAATCTTAAAATAACATCACAGTATCAAGTCCCAGAACCTCACATTCATATGCCAGCTGGCTGAGCTCGGGTTGTATGCAAGAAAAGGAAACACTCTCGATGGATTTCATTTCCTATAGCTAAACTGTCCATTTCCTTTTGTTCCCGTTGGACATAATGTTGATAGTGACCTCTAACAGTTATAGATGTGCAAGCTTTTAAGATTTTTTCCTGGAAAGTTGATCATTGTGTGAAGCAGAAAAACGTCAGTAATGCTTCATTTGGCAATGGGTGCCAAATGTTCCAAAACTGGACTGGGAAAATTAGGGGAAAGAAATTGTGTAATTATATTTTACCTTGCAAATTTCCTTTCTACAGCCAGGAAAAGGAAAGTACTARTGGATATAATACATATTTCCTAGCATTGCTTTGTGCCTGCCCTGTGCAGTCCAACAGCTCCAGAAGGTCCTGAGCAGCACTCAGAACCCATTTGGGATCGATCCTGTGGTACTTTTGTTCCACTGACACTCCCATCCCTCAGCAGCCTTTCTTACACACACAAGGATGGGAATATTCTCTTGTTAATGAAGTAACACAGACTTAAAGGATCACTGACAATAAATTTCTCTGCTGGAGGCTTGGTCATTTAATATTTGATGGTGGTATGAAATKGAGAAACTGTGTGTGAATAGTTCTTTATCCATGCAGAACAGGTAAGATCATACCTTTGGTTCGTGTGTAAGATTCCTTTACTTCACACTGGGAATTGCTTACTAAAAGCATGATCACATAAAAGGATGTACTTGATGTACAGTATGAGAAATAATGGTGTTTTTTTCTTTTTTGACAGTGATGGATTTAAAGAAATCATGCCCTATGATCACTTCCAGCCCCTTCCTCGGTATGTATAATCAGGATAGCATATGTGTCAGCTKTAGCACACATTTCATTGCAAATACACTATTTTAGTCCTAAAATAATGGAACATCTGATTTTTTTTTTCTATACAGAAGAGCAAGTTTGTAACAGTCCTGTAAACATTTCTGAAGCTTGTGATTTATTTTAGTGAGCACTGGATGATTAGCTGAACAGTCAGAGGTTAATATGCTCTCCTTGAAAATACCAATGTGAAGTCTTTCAAATGAACAGTTGTCCCCCTCAGCATTCTCCTGCTGGAGTGCTGAGGAGGGCATCATCTTTAAACTGTGTGTAGGAATTCTTGTCCTGAAAGGTTTTTATTTTGAAAATGTAGGAGGGTTTATAAAACAGATTTCACTGTGTGCTGGAGTCTAGAAATTCATTTTCTCTTGAGAGTTCTGATCCTTCTCCTCTTTCGATCTACAGTTTATTTATTGACATCAAAGGTGACATGTCACGTTCAAGGTACTGAATTGTTGAAATATCTATTGCCTTAAAAGAAGTCATCAGAGAACAATTTGTTACTTTTTTTTTTTTTAACTCCCAGATAAATTACAAGGATATAAATCTTCTCAGGAACGCTTAGATGTTTTATAAAGAATGTTAGGACTAAACAGCATTGAGTCATATTTGCTTTTAATGTAAAGAATTATAGTTGATGAGTTAGCTGCATATTTATTTGATTTGAACCTCTGCTTTATTATGTCATGTAATGAATAATGTGTATTTTTCTAAAGAAGTCAAGATATGAAGTAATAAGAATGAAATCATAGACTTGCACAGCTCAGTGGAGCTACTGATTACAGCTGATATAAATGCCACAGTTYATTTCTGTAGCAATTTGTCCTTGTGGATCTGCTGTCCTGTGATGTGCTTTGGCTTCCATTCACAGATTGGGGTTTTTTTACTCTGCAGCTTCATCCTGTAGAGTTCTCTAATTATGTTCTGTGTCTCTCCCTTTCCATCTCTTCTGCCAATTCCTTTGTACTTCAGGTCTCTCCTGGAACTCAGCTTTATGTATTTACAGGAGCATTTCATCTTCTGAGCCACTTAGGGCTTGGAGAGCACTTGGAAGAGAAATTTAATCCYCCTTTCTGTGCCTGACTGTGCTCAGCACGTTTGCAGGGCGCTGTGGTGAGAGAGATTATTCTGTGATAAAGCTGTGGGCAGCTTCTCTTATTTCAAACACCTCGAGCTGCAGACAGAGGCCCAGCTCATTTCAGCACTCGCTGTGTCCTGTCAGAAAGCATCACCATCATCCTGGGTGATGCTGCAGAGAAATATTGGGACAGCAGAGAAATATTGGGACAGCAGAGAAATATTGGGACAGCAGAGAAATATTGGGACAGCAGAGAAATATTGGGACAGCAGAGAAAGGGCTGGGACAACAGAGAAATATTGAAACAGCAGAGAAAGGATTGAGACAGCAGGGAAAGGATTGGGACAGCAGAGAAAGATTGGGACAGCAGGGAAAGATGGGCTGGAACAGCAGAGAAAGGGCTGGAACAGCAGGGAGAGGGCTGGGACAACAGGGAAAAGGTTGGAACAGCAGAGAAAGGGCTGGGACAACAGGGAAAGGGCTGGGACAGCAGAGAAATATTGAAACAGCAGGGAAAGGATTGGGACAGCAGGGAAAGATTGGGACAGCAGGGAAAGATGGGTTGGAACAGCAGAGAAAGGGCTGGGACAGCAGAGAAAGGGCTGCAACAGGCAGCCGAGGGGCTGGGGAATGGTGCCAGCAGGATGGAGAGGGGAAATGGGCTGTGTTGTACTGGGAGGGCTCGTGAGGAAACCCCACCCAGATGCAGAAACACCTTGTCTTGCAGGAATTTCTGAAAGAAAACGGCTGAWTGTTGGTTTGCCTGCATCAGGAGGTGACTCTGTCCAGGGTGGGTGCAATCCCTGCTCCAGGGCAGCAGGATTTGTCAAGGAGCTGCAATGCCTTACCCTGAGCTGGCCCGTGCCACCTCTTCTTTTCCTTCTCTTTCCTTGCCTGTTCCTTTGCTCTGACAAAGCTCTGGATGTGCAGAACTCTCCCCCCTGAGCAGCACAGCCATCTCCATCACACCCCAGGGCCATGGGGACACTGCCCTGCAGTGCTCACCACRTCCCCATTCACACCAGGAACTTGTGGGAAACTCCTGGAGCACACCACGAGATCTTGAAAGAGTTCTCCTGTGGCTGCAGTTGTAAATGCCCCACTGAAATATTTTTACAGATGGAGAATTCTTTTGAAATAAATAGGAAAAAWTTCCCAGGATGAAAATTTTCTTTTAAAGCTTTTGGAATGCCTCCATTTATTTCAGACTTGTTGGACTGTTGAGGATCCCTTGACAGCTGTGGGTTCTGGAAAGCATCTCCCTGACTGCTTGCCCAAGACCCCCCTTTTCMCCAGTAGCCATGGACCTCACCCCATCTTGAAAATGCTTGTGGGAGTGAGGGATCTGGAGTGTGTTTGAGACTGATGAGATAAAGAAAAACAACTGTAAAACTTCATGCTATAAACACTTGCAAGCCTTGCATTGCCTAGAGCACAGTGAGCCTTAAATACACAAATCCATGAGCTGCTAATTCATTAAACAGTTAATTGYTCTGTAATTCCTGAATTTTTAAAAGAAAATTAGTTAATGCTGCTAATTCATTTAAGTCAAAGAACAGTGTAACTCTTGCTCTTCAAATGTGTTGTTGTGACATTTTGGTATCTCAGCACACAGCTTTGGACTATCAGCTCCATGGTTAATGCCCCATGGGTTACTCTTCTCATTCTTCTGTTGAGTTTTGACATGTATTTCTAGCTCTATTTTTTCTGATATTTAAGCCTGGAAGAATGCAAGGTAAGTCTGTGAGTTGATGTATTTCTGTGTGGTAAGAATCCAGTAACCAAACTGCCAGCGAGTTTTAATCCACACTAAGGTTGGATTCAGTAGTTTACATTTTTAATAGAGGTTGGTGGAATAAGGAAGAGCCTTAAGGAAGAGGATTTTTTTTCCAGGTGGGAACATAACCCATGGACTGCGTGTTCAGTTTCCTGTGGAGGTGGAATTCAGAGGAGAAGTTTTGTGTGTGTAGAGGAGACCATTCATGGAGAGATACTGCAAGTGGAGGAATGGAAATGCATGTATGCCCCAAAGCCCAAAGTCATTCAGACCTGTAATCTGTTTGACTGTCCAAAATGGGTRGCAATGGAGTGGTCTCAAGTAAGTTGAAAATTAATTTGCACCTTTATTGTTGTTTTCTGATGAAAGCCTTTAGTTCTGTTTTACTATTTGTTAATAGCCCAGGACTATTAGAAAAGTGAAAGATAATCGACAGTACTGGGAAAAGCTTGCTCTAAGTAATTCTGCCTGATAATCAGAAGGTTAATGTGCCTGTGTGGAGAGGAATGTTAGAATTCTTTCTGCCTGCTGAATTCCTGCTTTGCATGGAGGAGAAGTTGGAGACAGAGGTCAGGCCCCTTTGCAGTCAGGTCCTTTATGTCTCAGTTCCTGAAAAATGCAGTATTTTACTGGCTCTAATAGCCAAAGGCAKGCCTGTCTCAGGGGCTGGCAAATCTGCAAGGGCGATTTTCCAGCATTCTTACCTTTCATTATAGTAACAAAAGCATCAGCCAAGCTCTCCTGGTGTAATTATGTGATACAGGCAGATATCTCAGCACCCTTGTAATTCCTTAGCTCACCCAGATGACATCASTGACACAGGAGTGTGGAAAATGCAGCTCCCTGGACCCAGCTTAAACTGAAAATRTCCACTGTGAGAGATTGGACACCTCCATTTCAGACTGCTGCCAATCAGATAAGCTTCACAGAACCTCAAGAAATCCCCTGCATTCCTAAAACCTTGACTTTTTTTTCCTAGCATCAACCTTTTCTTTATTCACCTGGCAATGCAGGTCCAAAACTTCCGTGAGCCCCTCCTTGGTGCTGCTAGCATCCTTTTGAGTGGGGTTTGTTGTGCCTGCAGAGGGGACTGAGCTGTTCAGGGCACAGGCTGAGCTGTTGTTGTGCTGTCCCTGCTGTTAGGAAAATTAATCCACAAGCACCAGAGGTTTATGTCCAAAAAGGAGACAGAAGAGTCCTGCAACTTTATTGATGGATAAAGGGAGAGGTCATGGCCATTTCCCATGGGGTCTCTCCAATTCACAGAGGATGCAGTTCCCTCTTTTATCCCAATTTCCCGGCCGCAGTTCCCTCTCTCTTTCCCCATTGCTGAGGTATTGAGAGGTTCAGGCTCCCCAAAAGCCCGATGAAGCCCCCCTTCTATCATCCATTGCCCCCTTTCCATATCCATCTCTGTGTCTGATTTTGTAGTCCATTAACACAGTCTGGGCTCAGTCAATCCATGCAATTCCTATGGAAATCCTTCTCATTGTTCCCTTCTCTCTCCCAGTATCAGCCTTATCTTAATCTCAAAATTAATCTGTTTGTAAATACACTCCCTTCTCATTCCTTTCACTGCTGACCAGTTTGCCGTCCCTGCTGACCAGTTTGTTATCCCTGCTGACCAGTTTACTGTCCCTGCTGACCAGTTTGCTGTCCCTCTGACCCATTTGCTATCCCTGCTGACAGTTTGCTGTCCCTCTGACCCATTTGCTGTCCCTGCTCACAGTTTGCTGTCCCTCTGTCCTCAGTGCACTGTCACCTGTGGCCGGGGGCTGCGTTACCGGGTGGTTCTGTGCCTCGATCACCGYGGGCAGCACGTGGGGGGCTGCAACCCTCAGCTCAAACTGCACATCAAGGAGGAGTGCATCGTGCCCACACCCTGCTACAAGCCAAAAGGTAACTGCACTTTGGTCTGGCTCTGGCATTGTCTCACATGTTGGTTCAAAGCCCCCGGTAACCTTTTTCAGAAATGCCAGAAGCTGGAATTTAGTAGGACTTATTTCAGTTTTGGCAGAAACAAGCATTTTAATTATTGGTGCTAGGAAAACTGCTGATATTTTTTGTTGATAACATGGCCAGACTGTCATGAGGTGAATGTGCCAACTAAATCTATACAGTCTGGTCAAATTGGGAAAACCAGAATTAATGAGCTTAACACAGGGAGGAGGAGTTGTTYGATAATACTTGAAATGGGAATGAATCCGTGTGTATCACCTGGGACCTTCTTGTTTGCTTTCATTAGATGTGTYAGCATTCTCTGTGTGGCTCAGCAGCTCATTAAGTTATGATCAAACCACTTTCCTTTTCCYTTCTCCATTTCTGCATGTTTGAAATGAAGAATGGAGCTCAAACAGCATGATGAAGCTTTCTAGTAAATTTTGTTTTATTATCCAGTATATCTTCAAAGGCATTAGATCAATAAGCAATGTAAACTGTAAAAATACTAATATTAACATCTATATATTGCTTTGATTTGGGAGGAATTACTGAATGTTTTGTGKTTTTTTCCTCTACCAGAAAAAGGTCCTGTGGAAGCAAAATTGCCATGGTTTAAACAGGCCCACGAAATGGAAGAGACCGTGACAGTGTCAGAAGAGCCAACGTAAGTCYCCTGCTTTTCACAGTGAAGAAATGTTTCCAGATCTCTGGGATGATTGTGGCTGTGCAGTTTGCTGTCACACTTGGCCCTCTGTGGGAGATGAGTCCTGCTGTGAGCTGTTCCTAATTCTCCATCTCAGCAGCTTTGCTTCTGGAGCTCCTGTTCTGGATGGCACAGAGCTACACCATTATAGTGCCCCTGTATCATTCAGGAGTTCCAATGGATCTCAGTTTAGCCTAATTAAGCCCTAATTAATGCATGTGGAGGTGTTTCAGCAGATATGAATTAAATAACTTCAGTTTTACCCCAGCCATAGATGTTTGCTCAAGAATGCAGTGGTGGTATTAAAAGTTAAGAGGTGCTTTGTAGGGCTGCCAGGATTTCCTTGGGGGGTGAGACCAATGCTAAAGTAAGTGAGAAAAAGCAGCTGATCTCTGTGCTTGGCTGCATCTGTGGGGTGAGCTGTGCTCTTTTCCATGTGTATATGTGTGAAATAACATCTGGGTTTTGTGAGTGCCCTTAAAAAGCRATGAGGTTAAGCCTTGCAGGTCCTGGGGATGAAAGCATAACTTAAATCCAGCTACAGTCGTTCCTGACCCTCGTGTGTTGGGGCATCCACACAACTGCTCACATCCCCTGTGTGCATTTCATCCACACACACACTCATATGTATTTATATTTGTAATAGATTCAGTATATTGGCATTAAAGTATTTACATTTCTAAAAAGTATTARCTTTTTATAAGATGAGATTTTGAACAGTATTTTATGGTGCTTTGCCAAATTCTGCGCTCTTTGTAGTCATGTAGTTTGAAATAATTTAGATAAACTTAATGAAGTTACTTTGGATTTCTGATAGTGGAGTGTGCCTTATGATTATTTTTCTTCTTCCATCGAGCCATTCCTGATTTTTGGCACCCGTGCAGCAGCAGGTGTGATCATSAATAATAAAATCTTTACACCTGCAGTGAGTCACGGAATGAAGCCCTTGCCAAACAGGTGTTTATACAGTTATGGTGGCTGCAGYTTAAACCTTTCTGCTCTGGCCTCTCGAGTGCTGTCAGCCTCCTGTGAGTGGTTATTTCACTCCCATCAGTGGCCATTTCACTCTTCTCAGTGGCCATTTCACTCCCTCCATTCGGGCAGGGCAGTAGCCAAGGTCTGAGGTGGGGTTGGTGCAATCAAATGTGCAGTGTCAGGATGGCAGAGTGAAGGTATGAGGTCACTTCTAGAGAGGATTCAGCATCAAGCTATAGAGGAAATTATCTCCAGCATTCCCAAATCCTGCTGTGGCAGCCATGAGCTAATGCAGTTCCTGGGTTTTTAGGGTCCTTCAGCATCAGTCTGACASAGCAATCAGGGAGGAGTGGCAGGGACACAGCTTTGCTGGCTCAGAGGATGTGTTGGACAGAACAGAGCTCAGCCAGAAACTYTCAGGGGCTTTGTGGCCTGTCCTGACCAAGAGAGCAATTACTCTCCTTCTGTGACCCACACATTCCTCTGCAGCCTTTTCTTCTTCTCTTTCTCAGGGGAACGAGATGCTTTTCATCTTTCATTCATGATCTTCATCCTGTCCCTAGCCTTTCCTTCACATTTTCCAGAATCATCCTCACCTAAGCATAAGAAGTTTCTCCAGCCACCTTTGGACCTTCTCACCATCCCCTCTTTTCTGGGGCTCTGAGGGCTGAGCTCCTCCAGCCTGGCCCCTCTGGGCTCTCCTGGCCCCACATCTGTAGCCACATCCCACATTAATTTTGCTTTGCTGTCTTCTGCTGTCTCTCTTTAGTCTTCTCAGGAATCCAGCAGGTGAGGAGAAATGAGCAATAACTGATCCCTGACTTCATTCCTTTTTGCATCAGTGCTGTTGACAATAATGGTTTGCAACCACCAGAGTTTCTCCATCAGTGCTTTAACCTCGTGCCCAAACTGCTCTGGTCCTTTCCAGCTACAGTCAGATTTTTGGGTCAGGAATTAAGATTKGAAAACAAACTGTGACAATAAATGGTTACTCCTCCCAGAATAAATTATAACAAGATTTCCCTGTGGTTTGGATCTGTTTAACTTTGTTTTCTGTAATTTTCATATGGCACAGTGATAACTCATAGCCCACCTCTGCCTAGCAGGAGATTCATGGTTTCCTTGGTAAAATGCCATCACTTATAATTTTAGTTATTCTGTTGTCATCCAAATTTAAACCACAAWATGAAGTCTCAACTTTTAGTCCATCCTTTTATTACAACTGTCTCTCTATGCTTTTGTGTGATACTTCAGTTGATAATGAATAAGAGAATAAATGCAGCTGTGTTTTAGAACCCACAAGTGATGGATGTGCCAAAAGGAGTTTGTGGAAGATAAATGCTTGTGCTGCTGTGGTCTACCACGGCTGGTGTCCTGAATTTACATAGAGGGGGAATGTTCAAAAGCTTCTTTTTCTTTTATTATTAGCAAAATAAAAAATGACTGTCCTTAAAGTGAGGCCAAGAAAAATGTATGTCTGACCTTTTTAGTTTTCAGTTGTGGAATGTGATGACAGTTGATACCAATCATTATTTTAAATGTTCTTCCCTCGAGCCTTCTTAGTTACAGCAGGATTCGTAGAGAAGCTCCAGCAAGYTTTTGCATCCTTTTTATTGCTCGTGAGCTGAAGAAATAGACACCTCAAATGCCTTTCTCTGTCCTGGCTTAAGGAAAAACTAAAGCACTTTCAAAAACGGATCTGTTTTTCYAGCAACATGAGCTAAAAAGGGATGTGCAGTGTTTCTCATAAAGATTCCCCCTTGTTGGATTGGAGTCATTTTCACAGATATGTCCCCCTTGTGCCTTTGGTGACAGAGAATAACCCCTTCTTTCCTCACAGCTCCTTCTGCCTCTCTCCATGGGTTGGTGATTTTGTCTGACACATTACCCTCACAAAACCCAACTGTTTTCAACTATAAATGTCCATCAATTTTATTTTTCCAATCAGGTACATAAATGGCATTAATGGACTTAAGTTKTTTTTTTTTTTTACACAGAAGGAGAAGAAAGTAATTGTTCTGTTAAGCCAATGCACACTGGCCTTGGTCCAATAAAGCACTTAAGCACAGTTCATTATCATYCTATTGCCTTCAAAGCTGGATTCTCCAGTTAGGCTCGAGCTGCAGCATTTCCTTGGATGGGGCTGATTTTGCCACCTTGAGTATTTTGCATGGCTGCTTTTAGAAATCCTGTGAGATCTGATGATCAGGGTGACTCTGCTGGGTAAGAGAAAGCCTTCCTTTGCAGATTCCCACAGAATATCCATTAGCATTTGTTATCAAAATGATGGACATGGCCCCAGCAGCTGAGCTGAGCTCAGTGGCCTCTTGGGCTGTACCTGACTGGGCATTTGTTCAGGTTTGATCACTGTAGGGCACAGCCAAGCGCTGTTTTGATGTCTCCTCCCCATAAAAATCAGTCTGGCACTCSTGGAAGGTGCTCAGGTTGTGAGGGGTGAGCAGTGGCAGCTCTGGCTGTCACGAGGAGCTGGGGATGGGGGGAGTGTGCCCTGTCCTGAATCTGTCGAGGACTGTGACAAAAATTCTGAGCAAGGAAACTTTGATGAACTTAGATAAGTGTAAGAGCTGTGAAGGTACTTCATTAACATCTAAAGAATTAACCTTTTAACCCCTACTGGAAATGGGAATAGTCTTTTCCACAGGAAAAAGGTTTTTTTAGGGTCTGTCCCAGTCCCAGCCTGGGTCACTGTCCCARGGACTGAGTTAGGGTATCCTCACAGGTTATCCAGCCATCTGTTCTCCTTTCTTCTGTTTCATTCTTCCTCTGTGTATACTGGCAAGAAATTATTGGCAAGATGATAAATTGCACAGAATCAAACCACACTGTTGACATTTTTCTGTGCTTACTCTGTATGCAGGGTGTAAATACTGAATTTTGTCTCACACGACCGTTCTTGTGTTTTTAAGGGCAGCTTTCCTGCAGTAAGGGAAGGATAATTCTTTATCCAAGATAAGGGCTAAATCTTTGAATCCTGATTTGGATCTTTCTTTCCAAATACTTTTTTAGCATTGGTCAAATTACCCTCTTCTATCTCCCACTGGTGTTTTGATCATAAGCTACACTTGGACACACAATRAAGAGCAACTGCAGCCTTTTCGGGGAGGAAAAACAAGTTCTAGGAAATTCTGTGTTTGATTTYTTATAAAGTACACCCCAGAGCCACCCAGGATGACTTTATTGATGRAATTCAACCCCTTGGCTCTAGTGCCATTTTGGAAATGACTGTCAGATATTAATGTGACCCACAAAGCCAGAGAATATTATAACAAATTCATGACCTGTAAAACAAGATTTTGCTGTAGTTCATCAGGAGCATAAATGCTGTCTAATAAAAATKATGGACTGTGGAGTGGTCTGGTTGGGCCTTTTTATTGAAGATGAGAGGCTCTTGGAAGGTGGGATCTGAGAGCAGCCTGGGTGCTGTGCCCTGGGTCTGGCTCTGTTTGAACAGCACTGCTCTTCTCTCTGYTCTCTGATTATTGGGATGATATGAGGTGAGGGCCTCTCAGATTGGAGCAGATTGCAGTGTATTTTTGGCACGTGCCCAAATGTACGTGGGAAGCTATTTTCTGTTGGATAGATCTATCTTCATGGGGTTTCTCCTTTCTTCCCCACTGAGGGAGACTGAGAAAAGATTTAGGTGTTTTCCTTTTCCTCACAAAATGACACAGCTTTCCTGTTCCTCACGATTCTTTCTCCTCTTTTCCTATATCTTCCTGCGTGATTTTGTGATAAATGGTCTGGGATGTGAGAGCCCAGTGGAAGCTTTGAGATGCTGGATTATTCATTGTGTTTGAGTTGTCGGTGTGCTCTGTGTGCAATCGCACCTTTGTGTGTGCTGGCTGTGTTTTCACTGCACACAGACACAATTTCCCAATAAATCCGTGCTGTGGTGCTTTGCAGGTTCGTTCCTGAGCCCTGGTCCCCGTGCAGTGCCACGTGTGGCAGTGGCACCCAGGTGAGGGATGT